CTGTCCCGGGCTGCTGCCGCGGTCAGAAACTCACTCACCCCAGAGATGTCTCTCCTGGTGCCTGGACCGGAACTCCTTGCTGCTAGGTGTCTCGTAAACAAAGGACCTACCTAGCTTGCTGCAGGCAGGCTAGTGGGGACAAAGGAGCTAGCACCCTCCCTTTGCCCTGCCGATTCGGATTCGGTCCTAGAGCCCGAACAGGCTGGGCTGGGAGATGTTATGTGGTCAAAGAGGGAAGGGAGTCAGACGGAGGGGGCGGGGAGGGTTGTGGATGCAAGCTGGGTGGGATAGGAAGAGAGAGGAAGTATCGGGCAGAGTCTTGTTGTTATTTTTTTTCCTTCAGGCTGGATCAGGCCCTGGAGGCCTGTCTGCTCACAGTGTTTAGTGAAAACTGAGAACTGTTTTGACAGGGGAAGGAATGCAGGACTCCCAATGATTGCTTAGTTAAAAATAGCAAGGAGAGTTGCATTTCCAGTCATTGCTAGGAATGTGGAATAGAAACTATTATAGCTGCTTGCTATTCATAAACGGTGCCCACAAGGAACGTGGGAAGAAGTGGAAGACATAGAGGGGAAGACTGAGTGAGCCTCCCTGCTCCATGTAGATTCCTCACTGTCCCTTCTTCTGTCTTTTCCTTTCTCACCCATGTGCCCATCCTTCCTCCTCACCACAGACCATTCACTACCATGATTTGTGTTTTTCAACATGTTCTTATACATTGCATCTTTAAATGAATTGCATAAGCACAATATCCCCCAAAAGAGTAGAAACATATATACAGTGTTACAAAATTAACTTTAAATTTGTATCAATATACTAGAATTCATGGACAATGCAAAATACCAGAGATTAATAGTTGTCTTTTTATCCTAGATTCCTATATTTCCCTAAATGATAGGAAACATCCATAACCCACCAAATAACCAAAAGCCTCCCACATTCCTCTTGGAAATATGGGCATCATGTTCTCCAAATTGCATTCTGTTGTGTGTGGGCATAGGCATATTTAGGGGTCCCTGTGGAAAATTGGGATAATGACCAAGTCCTGGGAAGATCAGCTATAACCTTTATAGATATTTATCAACTGTCAAGATTCAGGAGGTCTCATTGTTCAAAGCTGATCCATATTATTCCTGAAGGAACCAAAAGCTTCTTGTTTCCTGTGGGAATAAAACTGCAAAGCATTTTTGATTTCCATTTGACAAAATATGTTTTTGACTTAATTTTTAAAGTTAAGATAGTCCTAAAGTATATAGGTTGGTTCAATTTTTCAGTCCATATCTCCGAACAGTTGTCTTTTGCCCATCAGCATTCAAAAACTTCAACACAATACTATACAAATTCCTTGTATATTTCCCATTTAATGTGGCTTTTTTCTCTTACTTTTATTGTCTCTTTAAGACTTCATTATTTTTAATATATTTCTTCCTGTGGCTATCCCAAAATTTTTTTCTTAAGTGTATGTACATTGTAAAACACACTGGAACCTGTTTACAGGTTTTTTTTTCTCTCTGAATCTTTTTTTACTATATATCATTTAGCATTTTTTGACCTCATGAACCTTTAAACTGCTAAGTGATGTGGATACTTTCCCAGCTTTGGTGGCTGATTCTGTCTGCTTCTTGGGTTGTGAAAGCCAAGCCTAAAGCTTATGGTCTGTTTGGAGGTTCCTAATGAGAAACTATATTCATACCCCAACTCTGGAATGCCGGAGACAAGTGTTATTTACTTAGATTTTTGTTTTTACTTTGTAGGCAGAGGCTGCTCATTTGTTTCCCGGATGCCCAAACTCAAAATAATCACATAGAAACTATATTAATTATAACACTGCTTGGCCAATGACTTAGATATATTCCTGGCTATTTCTTATATCCTAAATTAACCCATTTCTATTAATCTATGTACCACCACAAGGTTGTGGTTTACTGGTGGGCATCTTTCTCCTTCAGCAGCTACATGGCATCTCTTTGACTCTACATATTTTCTTCTCTGTCTCTGCTTGGAATTCTGTCTTTCTCTGTTCTATTTTTCTGTAGGTCAAAGCAGTATTACTCATTAACCAATGGCAAAAGAACACATTCACAGCATACAGAGGGGAATCCCACATCACCCTTTTTTCTGCCTAAATAAAATGGAAGGTTTTAATTTTGACATAGCAAAATTAAACCTAAAAAAGGTATCAAGCAAGAATTACAGTTACAATATTTTTTATCTATTTTTTATCATAACTAAGTAAAACTATAATTATAATAATCTATTCTTCAACTATATCAAAGACACCCAAAGGTTTTATTATTACTTAAGTTAACAGAAAGTGCATTTTCAAAAACTTCCAAAACTCTAGAATTGACAAAGACATCTCATGGCCTGGATAGTCAACCAAAGTTCTTCTGTAACACTGGGGCATCCATCTTCATCCTACATGCCCAGCGTGTCTTGTAGACTTTTCTGTGAAGCAGGAAATTTCAAAGACTGTTTTGCCTCTATTGACAGTTTGTCATTCACTTTCTTCTGTATCTGGCAGAACGTCTGGCAGACTCTTTTATGAAGCAGGAACCCTGAAGGACTGTCTCACCTTTAGGCTAGTTTAGCAGTTATTTTTGTGAGTCCTGCATGTCCAGTTCATACAGCATACCATCTATGACTCCAGGCAAAAGAGTTTCTTTCCCAAATGGCTACCCTTGTTACATTGAAGGCAAATTTCATAATGAGCTTCTCTCTGCAGTAATTGGTGCTGCCAGAAGCAAACATGTCTTACTGTTGAGAAGAGTTTAAGTTCTTAAAACATTTATATGTCATATTCTGCATATCTTAGAAAGATTTCAAATATACCTATCCATCTGAAATATGTCTCTAAATCTAGACAGCCCAAATAAAATGACTATAAGTTTGACTATTACAAATGATTATTAATCTGTTTTTCTTAAGTATACATTATATTTTTAAATAAAATTCACAAACACAATACCTTAAACAAGAACAGAAATAAACATATAACAAAATTGAGCTAAAAGTTTGTATCAATAAACAAAGATCTAAAGAAATTCAAAGTATTCATTTCTATCGCATATCCCCCTTTAAATGCAAACAAACATTTATAAAGGATATTTGGGAATTTGGATATAGTTCTCTTCAATCTGCTTCTTACTTTCTGTTGGGCGAGGTAATTTTGGGGTCTGTTGAAACTTTTCATAGGGTCTTGGTTCATTAAACCACATTACTTTGGAAGGAATCCACAGGTTCTCATCTTCTGTGGGAAAAAAAGCAAAACTGCTTTTCCAAACAACATATCCTTAGACCCAAATTTTGAAGTCAAGATACCTTTAAAATATATATGTTGGTTTAGCTTAACAGCCCCCAGAATCAAATATTTCTCTTTATTTAGCTCATTCACAGTCAAAAATTAAAATAAAACATAGTACTATACATAATCCAGACTTTTGGTGTATATTCCATCTTCACATGGCTCATTTTTCTTATTCTTACTTTTTCTTCAAGTTTAATATTTAATTATTTTTACTCCTTTAATATAAGAATGTCTGTACTCTTGTATATTATAACTGTCTATATACGTTTTCCCCTCTCTCTCTCAGCCTTTTATGCAACACTGTGACCCGTTTAGAGGTCTTTTTAAAAAAAATCTAAATTTGTCTGTATTGAGTGTGTATCTGCAAGTATTTTTTTGACCAGAGCACATTTTTTTTTTTTAAAAAAAAGCTAAGTAGGCTGACTAGAACCAACTCTGTTGCCCTGCCTGTTGACGTCACCCACTCCAACATGGCAGAGGAATGTTCACTGCATCTATATCACCATTAAGCAATTTGTAACATGCTGCTCACATACCCCATTTAAGTGCTTCATCTCCTGAAAGAGCCAGAGTTGTTTGTGCAACTAGCACGGACCAGTAATCCCTTTCCTAAAGAAGCTGAGCAGCCTTCAATGCCAATGCTGAGTCAGGAAGTCCACCCATAAAGGAGCTTCTGTGCCTTCGCTTGCCACCAGCAAACAGAGCCCATTGGAAAATAAAAATGTAACTACCAAGACGCTGCACTAAACTCTGTTCTTTTGTGTTTGAAATTTTTTATTAAAGTCTCTCAAATTTTATGTGGCTGTAGTTGCCCACATTGGGCACATCTTACAATTTATATCTCACAACAGTAGTTTGTAAGACTTTAGATTTTTTTACTTCCTGAGTTTCATTTTATTTCATATTAAAATGTGTCTCTCAGTATGGTATGCATGTTCACATGTGTCTAGGCAGGTCTGCCTTATGTTAGGCCTTATCTTCAAATGCTTCCTGTCATTTTCCAAGGCAGAGTCTGACAGCTGAACCAGAGCTTGCAGATTTACTTGCTCTAGCTGGCCAGCTTGCTCCATGGTTCCACTGTTTCTGCATTCTGAGTTTGGAGTACAAGGTGCCTGTCACACTCACTCAACATTTATACAGGTTGTGCAAATTGATCTCTGCTCCTTCTATCTGCATGGATGGCACGGCAAGTGCTTTATGCACTGTGTGTGTGCATGTATGCATGTATGCATTCATATATGTGTGTGTGCTTGTGCATTTGTACTCAAATGTGCATGTGGAGCTAAAAGACAAGGGGGATGGTAGAGTGCTAAAGTTGGGGTTGTCAGGTTCTGATATATTAACACACATGACTCTTACCCTTAGTTTGTCCCATAGTGGTAGAGGATTGGCTAGTGTAAAAAAAAGATATCATGAGGGAATTTATCCAGTAACTTCCTGGCATTAACCATTTGATCTTGTCATGGTCAGTAGCTGTGAATGAGTTGAATTTGAACTATATTTTTGAATATGTCTCTCTAAGGAGAACTTTGGCATCTTCAGTCACTGTGTCAAGGAAAAGAAATTCGAAGTAAAAGGTTTTTCTAAAGTAAAGACCTGTAGCAAGGAGCCCACCATTAGCTGAGGCAAATATCTCCAAATATTTTAACAACATTTCTCCTAATGTTTCTTTATTCTTAGTTTCTAACAAAAAAGGTGATTTAATGATTTTTTTCAGCTGTTCAACAGGCACTTGAGAATCCTTAGCCATGAATTCCACTGATTCATCATCCACTCCAAAGAGGACTCGATAGTGGTTTAACTTCTCCTTCAGCTTCTCCATATCATCCCTGATCATGCCCACTACAGGAACAGTAGACAAAATTCCAGCCTTGAAGGCTTCCAACCAAATATACTGCTGCATAGACTTGTTCTTTCTGTCAATGGCTGCCTCTGTGATATTAGGTAAGGAAAGCATAAAATTGTGGCGCTTTTGATTAGGAAGATCCTTAATCAGAGTGTCCATCAGAACTGGAAAGTCATAGTCAGATAAATGTCTGTTCGAAATCAAGAAAATCTGTGGAATATCCATGTTATTCTGACTGAAGGTATTTTCAGAGTAGCTTCTCATCTGCTGCAGGGTCTTTGCTTTGTTAAAGTTACGTGGTTTGGATTCCTTTTCATTTTGTAAATCATTGTCCACCTTGGTTCTTACAAAGTAATAATTCTTTTTCATGAATCTGATTGCTTTGGCAAGGTCTAGTTCATGTTTTGTAAGACGTGTGGCAGAAACAATAAGAAAGAAATCATACTCTTGTATTTGCACTTTCTCCAGATAATCTTTTGGCGGAAAGTTCATAGTTCCAATGCCAGGCAGGTCCCATAAAACCAATGTTTCAGTTTTGGGGTGTTGGTATGAAGTTCTCATCATAGTTGTCTCAATTACCCCCACTTCAGCTGCATCTTGGTCTTCAGGTCCAATCCCTCTCAGGGCATTTATGAAGCTGGACTTCCCTGCTCCAGACTCTCCAGTCACAGCAATGTTTATTGGGGCACTATCAATATTTTTTAAGGCATCATTGATTACAGAGTTTGCTCCTTGAATGTTTCCTTTTTTCAGATGAAGTTCTATTAAATGAATGGTCTCCTGAGAAATGATTTTGTTTTCTGCCTTAAACTTCACAAAATATTTAGTGGCGCTGGACACCAAATCTCCATTGTCTTCATTGTTAGATGTGTCAGAGAATAACTGACCCATGATTCTGATAAAAAAAAATTAATCACTGAAAAAAAGGAAGAGACAGTAAGTTGCAAAAGATCAAAGATGACTTTGTCCTTAGCACAGTGTTTCTTCACTGTGCTGCAGCCTTACTTATGTTCTGATATTGACTCTTTCCCGTACATTTTCTGCTGATTTTTTATTCTTGTCAAAAAGATACCAGCTGTAGTCCGATTGGAGGAGAAAATCTCATTTGAGGCATTTCCCCTCTTGGAATGAACTTGGGGTATGCCTATAAAACATTTTTTTGATTGAGGATTGATATGAGAAATCTCAGCTTAATCTGGGTGGGATCCTTGGGCTGGTGGTCCTTGGAAATATAAGGAAGGGGTGTCTAACTACGGGGAGCCAGTCAGTAAACAGCATTCTCTCATTGTTCTTGCTTTTATTCTGGTAAAGTTTCTACTCTGAATTCCCTCAGCAATGGAGTGTGAGCAGAGTGGGTAAACCCAAAAAAATAATTTCTTTTTTCAAAATCCTTTTGGTCATAGTGTGTATAAAAGGAGTAGGAAGGAAATTAGGATAAATTTCTTCTAGTTTTCAATTAAACCCTTAATTATGGAGAAATTAAAACTTAAGTAAAGTAAGGGAAAATTATATAAAAAACAGCATGAGTGCTTTAGCCAGCATCAAGAAAAACAAAAACAAATGCAACTGTGCTCATCTAACCTGACTGCAGTGTTGTATATCACATCCAAGATGTTTTCTCCATCTGGGCACACTTCTTTCAGTGTGTGCCTTCAGATGAATAGAAATTAAATCAACGCACATCTAGTTTTTCACACTGAAAAATAAATAATAATGAATTATAATTGACATCAGTATTTAATTAACGTGAAATCTCAAATGATCACGTAAATGTAATTTGTCTGCTTTATTGATTTTTCAAAATACGTCAGTAGGCCCAACTACTGTATTTTGTTGAAATAATTTTTAATTTTTCTAGATTTACCTTTCTTTTGTCTTATCTGTGACTTGGAATTCATCTGTATGAAGAATATAAACTTGGAATAATATAAAACTTCTTTCTGTTACTGTTAAAATCCTTTTCTTCAATACAATATTTCCAAGTCATCACTTATCTAACTGTGTGCTGGAGATGTAGATCAGCTGGTAGTGAGCTTTCCCAGCATGACTACAGCCTTGGGTTCAATCCCTAGCACCTCATCAAATGCAGGTGCTTGTGGATCCCTGTAGTTCTGCTACACATGGAGTAGATGTAAAAGGTTCAGTACTTTCAGGTGATCCTTGGTACACAGTGAGTTAGAGGCTAGCCTGGGCTATTTGAGACCCTGTCTCAATAAAATGAATATCAAGTTCATCATGATGGCTTAGCAGGTAAATACACTTGCTGACAGATTCAAGGACTTGAGTTTGATCGTTGGGTATTTAGGTAGCTCAGATCTCATATTTCTGCCCTTTTATTCTCCACAAGTCTGCCTTAAAGTCCTCAATAGCAGTACAAGGATCTCACCATTAGTTAAGGAGACAGCAAATCCCCATTGTCACCCTGGAGTCTCCTCTGTCTGTCTCACCTCTACCAAATCAGTTTGTAGACTTAATCTCTATTTCCAAATCCAAGCACAATTGATAACTCTGCCTACATTATCTTCTTCAATACCTTCTCAGTACCAGCTTTGAGCATGTCATGGGCATTGCTACATTTCCTGTTATGGTTCTTACAACAACATGGATGATCAAACAGCCAGAGTTATGACACTGAAATCATATCACGTCACGTCAATCCTGAAATGTACCATAAGAATTCCAATTTCACTCAGGCCACACATTAGGTATAAAGTGCACATGCTACATACAACATACCTTTGAATATAATTATTACACTTCTGGGACATCTGGTGCCTGAATTCCGGACACCCTGGCATCTCAGTCTATCTTCTCATTCCAGGACTTTCAACTTAGTGACTGCTTTTTTTCCTTCCCCAAATATTTACATGGGTATTAATGACCTTTCTCTAGGTTCTGCTTTCTCTAGGCAGGCTTTAGCATTGACATTGTCATTGAGATAGAAAAGTGTACCTGCCTGCATCTTTCACCACCCTCTCACCATGTTTCTGTCTCTCCACAGCACTTGCTGCCCCATAATGTCTATTCATCTGGGATCATTAGCTGTCATCCTCCCACTCTACCATGCACCTCAGATAGCAGTCTGATTGTAGGCACAGGGTAGGAAGAGGTGAGTAAAGAGAATGTCCTAAAAGGGCAGCTAAACCTGATTACATAAACTCCATAGCCAGATTTACTGTTGAAGGGGACAGTCACCCACAGGACACAGACAGAATGTCCCTGAAGCACACAAGCTGTTCTCATCTTTCAGGTTTTCCCCTCTCATTCTCTCTGTTCTTGAATTTGTGGTTCAGATACCAATGTGTCAGTTGTCTGCATGGTCTTTCTACTGAGTATGAACTGAGGGAACGAGAAGGCTGTGACAGAGCAATCATTACAACAGCCCCCCCCCCAGCCTAAGTGACAGCTGTCACCACATCCTGACATGTTCCTCACAGGCGGAGAGAAGATCCTTAGCACCCCTGCTTTACAATAAAGAAGACCACAGTTTACAAGATTCTTCAGGCACAGATTTCCACAGCCAGCTCCATCAAAAGCAGCGTTCAGAGAGACCTCTTCTCTATAGACCAGGGGCCTTGGAATGTAAGGAATTTAATAGTTGACTCTGAACTGGGAAACAAGATGAATGTAACGTACAACAACCTCATGCACAAGGTAGAGATATTCTATCACCAGAAGCAGCTATTTACAGCCATGTCCGACAAGCCAAAAATGATTGAAAATGTTTATTATCAAAATCAATATCCAGATCATTTCCTTTAGGTTTACCTCAACCTGAAGAATTGGCTAAGACCATCCATGAGGCAGTCCTGTCCACCTTTTACCCAAGCACCCCAGCTTTAAACTGAGGATCCCCACTATCAGGGCATGCTCCTCAATGCCTTATTACCTCTCAGCTCTTTAGAAAAGAGAGAAGGTGAGGGTTAGAAGTTAGATCTGAATGCCCCTGTCCACTTACCAGAGAATCCCAAGTCCAGTGTGTGCACTCACTGGAATTCAGCTGCAGAAACCACGCTCTACAGTAGTCCAGTCTTGTCACATGAAACCCACTCCTCCTTCCTCTGCAGGACTTATAGACCTTCTAGTTTCTGCCCCTCCCCTCTCAGTGTGTTTTGGCCAGTCACAGAGGAGCAAGGACCAGTTGCTTTTAGGAATCACCTGCATTTCCAAGAAGGGGAAAGTGAAGTAAAACCAACAGTTCTTTTTTTATTTTATCAACTTATCCTTAACTGCCAGAAAAGACCAGATGTTCCAAAATTAACAATGTGGAACGGGGCTTGGAAAAGATCAAAAACACAGAGAAGCAGAGTATTGACTGTGTAGGAAAGCAGCTCTTGAAAGATAAATTTCCTAGTTCCTGACTCCACAAATGCAGCCCAAACTGAAGTCATACAACACATTTTCTGAGGTCCTGTGCAGATTCCAATTTAGTCTCACCCAAGACACAACCCATGTGACCCCCTCTGACTGTAACCTTAATTCTTCACAATTGTAGATTCATGTTCCTCAATTCTTGTCATTCTCAGCTTTCCTGTCAAAGCGGGGATTTGGTCATGCTTGGGCTTGACAGGTCTTACACATGCTGTCTCAACCACGGCCAGTTCATATGTGAGCTGCCCTGCCATTCAGAAGATACTGTATAGTTGTAGTTATCCATGACTCTGGCCCTGACACTCTTTTTACTATTTCTTCCACAGCCATTGCTGTGCTATTTGAGTAGAAATACAGATATTACATTTTGTTCTGGACATTTGTCAGTGTCTTATTCTAAGAATCTTGGCCAGTTGTGAGTATCTGTATTGATTATAACCTACTGCAAATATGAGCTTGCTTGATAAGGGTTAAGCAATGCCTTAATCTATGGGTATCATGGAAAATCATCAGGAGCTGTTTTAATGTTATGTCCTTTAGCAGAATAATAGTAGCAGGCTCTCACCAGGGTGTAGACCAGCATAGCCTAAAGTTATTGTTCAGATATGGTACTAAGCACGGGTATCATCTTGTGGAGCTATACTAAGTCCAGCCAGGAAGTAGTTAGTTACTACCATGATGTTCTTGTCAATATTCCATTGGTGACTGTATCTTATCTGTCAAGTCAGTACTGTCTCACAGAGTTCATATGTGAATATGATTAATATTTGTTTCATTTTCTCCTCTGCTACTGTGTCTAGAACATTCCAGCACTATGAAAGATAACCAATAGGGATGGAGTTTCTGGGTTAACATGAGCTTGATTTCTCCATATTCTATAACTCAGGAGCATGGTATTTTCACTAATAGTATATTACCATCAATAGATAATGGCCTCTAAGGATCAGGTTAATCACTGGCCAACAAACTTATAAAATCTAAGTAATTCCTGGGCCTGGACTTTTATTTGTTACCTTGTAGTGTGTAGCAGGGACATTGTTGACCCAGTTGAGGCTCTCTCCATCATCTTTTTTATCTCTGTGTACATATATTTAGGAAGCCTCTACATTAGTTGGTTACACATGACATTTTGAAATCCTTTTGTGGTATTTATCGCTCCTACTTTTACTCCCATTCCCTATTCTCACCTCCTAGCTCAATTTAACTTTTCTTTGTCCATAATTCTCTTTTAAATTCCATCTTCCCAGTCTCGTTATTACCACTCCATGGCATCATAGTAATTTCAAAGCCTGTGCTGGTATTTCCAATGGAATATGCATATCTGAAGGGTGAAAGCTAAAATCTATCTACACATGAGAGGGGCTTCTGTCACCTCACTCTGAATAATTTTTTTCCAGCTCCATCAATTTCTCCACGAATCTCATAGTTTTTATTTTGTTAGCAGATGAGTAATGTTCCATTATATAAAGCCGCACATTTTCTTCATCCATCCATCAGTTGATGGGCATCTAGGTTGTTCCCATTTCTTGGG